CTTTTCGTAAAAATTCTGCGTCCTCATCCGTCTCATCATCGTCTTGCTCCATTTCTGAAAGTCCATATCTTTTGAAAAAGAGAAACTCTCGATCAACCTGAGTAAATAACAACAGCTCTGGAAAATCAATTTCCAAATTTTCAATTATTCGTAGTACAATTTTAACCTTTCTAAGTGTTTCTTTCACAAATTGTTTTTTCCAAAATTTTACTGATTTTTGAGAAACATTTGAAGTTGAGCAACTCCCGGTATATCTGAGTAAACAACAACACCTTACATAATTATTTATTTATCCTCCTACAGCGTTTCTTTCACAAATTGCTTGTCAATTTTTCGAAATATCGGCGACTTTCTAATAAATTTTGAAAATGGGGAATTCTCGGTATACTTGAGTAAACAACAATAACTTCAAAAAAAGCGCATTTTCAAAAATTTCGATTACTTAGGGCCATAATGTCTATCTTTCCACAGTTGTTTCTTTTATATGTGCTAACATTTTTCAAAATTACCACTGATAAGTGTATCGCTTCAAGAGAAAAGTACAAAATAGACTACTAGAAGCACAATCGCCAACAATTATCACTTTAAAAAACGATTTCGAGTAAACTTGAAATACTCTGTTTATAACTGGGAATATTTGTGTTCTAATTTAATAACCACACTTATCTCCGAGCTTTCTAAGACATTTTTTAAGGGTGTGACTCACCTTGGATGGCTGAGGCGTATTTGGCTTGAAAGGCTCGTCGAATCGATCGATTCGAATGAATGACGTCGGGTCTCAGTTTGCGCGCCAGCACCGATGACTACAGCACCCCCGAGGCCAGCACCGAAACCCGGACGAGTCAGGGTTTATCGAGCACTCTATGACTATGCTGCTAGAACGGTGAGTATTACTGATGAGAAAGGCCAAATAACGGCCCCAATAATAGCTTCATTCACTAAGTGGAATTGAATTGAATAGCCAAATGTAAATAAAGAAGTGTAAGGATTTTCGTGGAAAGCTACGTGTTGGTGAGCTAGAAATATAAAACACTATGGGTATTAAGTTAAAAAGCTTCTTCAGTACTTATGAAAGCTAAAAGTTTCGATAAGAGCAAAAAGTTACGTTTTTAAATAAAAAGATACTACAGTATTGTTAATATCAAGTTTGAAAGTTCCAGTCATTTGTGAACTTCAATTTAAGGATCAAGAGATGAGCTTCGCTGAAGGGGATCTGCTGTACGTGAGCGATAGAGGGCCAAATGACGATTGGCTGCCGGCAACATGTGGCGGCAAAAAAGGGCTTGTGCCAGCTAATTACGGTCGGTTCCGAGAGTCTTTATGCTTTTATCCCATATTTCATTGCAAGTTCCCTGGCCCATTACTTTTTATGGTGGCACCGTGCTGCTGCTGCTGCTATAGAAGCAGCTACGAAATTACACTCGTTTCCACAGAATTCGTTATAACAAACGTCAGACGTGGATGTGTGAAAATTACTATCGGTATCTCTGAAAACATTCCGCCTTCATTTTGGCTATTGTCGAGTAGTTTGCGCTGGCTACGCCTCACATCCGTCAAAGCCAGACTACCAATATCGATTTGGTAAGGACTGACGAAAACGTCAGCAACGTGCCGATGCAAACTCTAAACACCGACAGTCTATGGCAGGTGTAGGGGGCAGGTGGGGTGCGATTGATTGGTCCATGCAATTGTTGTTTGCACTGTTTGCTGAGCATCTATGCTTTTGGGCTTTTTTGGGTAATTGCTGTTCTGGTAGTGATTATTCATTGGGTGACAAAGGCGATATTGGCTGTGGTAGATCTCGTTTACAGTACTAGCGTCAGCGTTGGTGGTCGATCAATATGTCTCAGTTCGATGACTTATGCCGCTTTCAAAGACTTTTTAAGTGTTTGAAATGAAGCAGCGCACTACAAAGGCTCTAATTCTTGCTGTGAATAACATGGACGGGCGCGTTTATAGTACCTGCATTTGTACGCAGACTGGTGTGTTATTACGCAAATATGCGCTTTTTACGCAGCCTACTGCGCTCATACGCAGATATGTGCGTTTTTACGTTTCTATATGCTAGAAAACGCAAGTACTATAGGTGCTCGATGATTATCGAACACCTTCATAGACCTTCCGCTTCCGACCGACGGCGGTGCTAGCCACTTGTTGACAACACTGCTGCATGATCCATCGGCGTCCAGTGTTGTCAACACCTGTCCAGCAACACCGTCGGTCGGACGCGCGCCCGTCGGTTGTGTCGTTGAAGTCTGAAAGCAAATGTTTCAGTTGTAAGTGAAAATGTAGAAGAGCTGTCGAATCCATTGCATGAAGCAGCTCGACGAGGAAATATCAATTTTCTCAAGGATTGTATAAATAACCAGGTAAAAGTAGTCCTACGCTTATAATTGTATTGTTCAAAACATTGTTCCTAGTAGGTAGTATATACCTAGGTATCGGTGAACAGCCTCGATAAATCAGGATCAACAGCACTGTACTGGGCATGTCATGGTGGTCATCTCGGTGTGGTGAAGTGTCTTCTCGAGCATCCGGGAATAACCATTTCATCTCAGGCAAGCGAAATATTTGAAGTCAAATTCTTTTCTAGCCGCTTTCTACCAGCTCAATCCACCCAGCGTTTTGCATCCAGCTTAGGATGCTGTCCTCGAGACTACCTACGACTGAGCAAACCTCAGCGCTATCCTGTCATTGACGATTGCCTCAGGGTAGATAGTTTCTGGTGTTTTCTGTGAGTACCCACCTCAACTACTCCCTCACTATCATTAGTAGGCAATTTTTTTGCCAACCAAAGACATTCATTGTTTTGATTTGAAGTATGAATGAGAACACATACTGCAACAGTTGTACTAATATTATGGGCGCTTCCTGAGGGATTCATTCATTTGTTTGTGTACACTTTTTAGTTGAAGCTATTAATATTGTAGCTTACATCATATGCTTTTTCAAAAATCCGTGGCGTTAGTCAGATGCAATCAAATGAGTTGACCATTTTAGGACTGAATTTGGAAAGATATGGCCTACTGCTGCACATAATGTTTGCAATCTTTCTAGAATAAGCTGGGTGATACTCCACTGCATGCCGCTTCATGGCGTGGTCATCGAGAATGTGTACAGCTTCTACTCGATAGCGGTGCTAATGCTTGGATACGGAATCGAGATCAAAAGCTACCTATTGATTTAGCCAAGGTGAGCAGTGAGTTCTCAGCTGTATAACATCTTATATATAACTAGTTCCAACCCTGATTCCTCCAAACCTCTCGAAGTTCAGGCGTTACTAAGCTTCTTTCACTCACATAATATACCCGAGTGCTACTAACAACGCGTGGACCCTTTTTTCAGGATGCTGAAATAGCAGGCCTGCTTGACCAAGCAATGCGGCGAGACACAAGAAATGAAGATTGCGAGAATGAATACGAATCTGGTTCTGATCAAGAGCAATAACCGACATTTGTATACTTAGAATTTATTAAATTATTTATGACAATGTAGCAACTTCCAGATAGACCATGGTACCATGAACAACTTTCTAGAACACGAGTTAACTCTAACATCGAGAAACCATCTGATCAACTAGTGGATTACCAATTATCTAGCTTGGCGTGCTTGAGGTCAGAATATTTGGCCGCCATACTTACGCTAACTCAACGAAATAGCCATTAAAAGTGAGCGAAGCTAGTGTTAGTGTCACTTTTCAAAACGAATGTGGAAGAGAAGGCCTACATTAAATATTTCATAGTCACCACTTGGGTAATGACGCTAATTGGTTGCTGAAGTGCCACTCCTGAGACTAGATGTAAGTAGACAAGCTCGATTACAATAGAAAAAGAGAAGTAGGAACTACCGGTCCTAAGACTCCAACCCTCTTGGGAGTTCTTCGTTTAGAGGAATGGACATTTACACTTAGAAGAAAACGACATCAGAAAGGTATGAGTATTTGGGTGAACTAACAGCGAATCTATCATTGATTTAATAGGTATAAATCTGTATACTAGAGCATGAATGTAAGCCAACCAAGTATGAATAGAACGCCCCCGATAGGAGTGAATCGTCGAGTATTTTCTTTGCCAGTGAGACTGTAATGATAACATGGTCCACAGAACATGACGATCCCACCTGAAATATACAGACGATTCATTGGTAGACAATTCATAATATCAACGGTTTCTAGTAACTGACAATAGGATTTTCATCTCTCTGGCCAATGATTATAATTGGTTACATTTATACTACCGACAACGATATCGGCGTCAGCGTTGGCCCTCGATTAGATTTCAGAGTTCACGACGTGCCGACTGACGGCGGCGCTAGCCACGTGTTGACAACACTGGAAGTCGATGGACCACGCGCCAGTGTTGTGAACAAGTGGCCAGCGCCTCCGTTGGTCGGTCAGTCATAAGGAATACGAATAAGTCAGGATAAGAGCAAGGCAAACAAGCCTTTTGAACGCCTAAAAATTATCAAGGCAGCAAGATAATCGATCTGCGGGATATCACTTGGTGGTCAATGGCTACTTTCTGGCTTCAACGATTCAACGCACGCACGCAGATTGAATTTGAAGTCTGAAAGCTGGCAATGACCACCAAGCGATACCAAGGCAGTATAAATGCCTCCAATAAGGCGGTATAGCGACATTATGATTAGAAAACAAAATTATCAACGATGGCTTACTAAGAAAAACAGCACTCGTAACCAAAGGATAGCGAGCTCGTGGAGCAGCTAGTAAAGCCAATGTATGAATAAGATGATATCGCGATCCTGTCTCAAATGCCTTCTTCCTTCGCACGTCTACCGATTCATCATCGCGAATCACTGGAAAGTGCAAAATATAACGCTGGAACAATACAAATGGTGAGAAAGTTGATAAAATTCTAGGAGCATTGAATAGAGGATACGGCGGAAAGCACTAGTTTCTACAAGACAGAAAGCTGAGAAATCGAAAACGCTGCTTCACCTCTGCTACCTTGGTTTCATCAACTTTGACTTTAACAAAAATAGAAGGTAAATAAGGATAGAAACTAACCATGGGCTCCATAGGCTCCAACAGCAACAGCTATGGCACCGGATAGTCCTGCTATCCTGACGATTTTGTTCATTGCTTCTGGACAAGAGGATCTCAATGGGGCACCTGTGCTTGTGACAACACTTTGTTTCTTTCTTGGTAGCGCCACTTCTGGTATATAGCTCAACAATGTGTTGATCTGCGTTATCAACGACATGGTGGCTTATATCAATCACTGAATCAGGCTTCTTTCTGTTATACGGCAGAAAAAAGGTTACACCACTATCACGAATTTGCAAGAGAATTGGATAAATATCAGCTGTCAAAAACACCCGGTGAATCAGACAGGTTTTATAGACATCTGACTGTTATGAGCATTGATTACAAACAGTTATTCAACTGGGAAAATTTACCATGAAGAGAAACAATCAAGTCCTAAGATAAACTGAATTCCAAGAAAATCAATTCCCCAGATTTAAACTGAATGCAGATGCATTAACTAAAAGCAATAGGAAAGCTAAAGAGACTTCGTGAAACATGAAATTCAAGAAGGCTGATCCGGCAATGACGCTATGGCGTTACCTATACAACCGATCACCTTTGGGAAACGATTCCGATCCCCACTTTGCCCTGGATTAATTTTCATGTAGTTTCGACTGCACGATTGAATTAAGCTTTGCTACGAAGTTTGGCCTCTTATTCCAACGCTTTCGAAATAAAGTGTTCTCAAATCAGACCAACTAACTTGAGCCACTTCCTATTCATCTGCCTAACAGAGAGAACCCTTCACTTCGAGTTTTCCTCCTTCCACTACACGGCAGACATAACCCATCACCGCACGAAACTACCGCCCGGAAGGGCGCAAA